AATAAAACCTTAAAGTTACCTAAATGCACGTTTCCCAACTTCGAAACATGTTAGGTCCATTTCTTCATCAACTAGACTAGAAGTAGAACATAATTATGGAAGAATTAAGTTACAAGTCCATAAACATAATAGATTTGGTCCAACGATTCCAACAATAAAATCAAAGCCATTTTGTAAAATTGTCATCCGTAAAATCATATTAAGATATCTTCATTTTATTAAAAATATTTTAAAACGATATAAATATATATTGATTTAAATACATGACAATAAATCATGTTCTTTAATCTAACAGTTTATTTAAATAAAGTGTGTTGTGAATCTATTAATTGATCTTAGTGTTTTTCTTAAGTTTTAGGTTCAAGTAGTATTTACATGTATATGTTTTCAATGATTAAAAAAAAAGATAATAAATATATATTACTTTATAATCACTCGTACTATTAAAAAAGTCAATTGTATTGTCAATGTGTTAAAATAATTCTAAATAAATATTATCATACAATTATGCAGAATAATAAAAATTATTAAATTAAAATATATAAATAAAATATGAATTAGAGGATATAAAGGAGATAGGGTTGTATTAACAAATGTTAGTTTAAGAGGTAAACAGATTAATATTACCTAAATATATTTTGGGTTTGAATTTTTGTATATGTAAAAATTCTTAATTAGGAGATTCGCCTATAAAAATCAGGAGTGCGACACATGTTGATTTAACAAAATTTTAAGTTTTCAGATTGTAAAAGTCATTAAATTTGACCGTTATCTAATTTTAATTCGTGTCCTGCATATATAATTTTAAAAAAAATCTGAATTTTTTAAATAAGTATATTATTTAAAAATTTACTTTAAAAAATCAACTAAGTGGCCTCCCTCCCCTTCTCCCTCTCTCTTCCTCCTTTCCCATTCTTTTCTCCCAAACGCCGGTCAAAAACAACTCATCCGTGACGTCGACCGTCGCCGTCAGCAACTTCCGCGACCTCTCGCAACCCAACCCCATCCGGCAACCGCCTGAATCAGCCACCGTTTGGTATGAAACGAGAGTGAAGACCGTTCGGCTTGCCCCTCTTCAATCCCGACCGTCGCATGTCGGTGGTCGTCACCGACACTCCATCCGGAGCGCCCGGCCGCTGCGATCAAAACCCACTTGCCCGATCATCGAAATATCCAGCCGTCCGTCGTAGAGGAGCATTCGAAGACGCGTCGGAAATCCAAGGCCGCCGCTGTTTTTCGTGTTTTCCGGCCACCACAAGCACATGTCCACCTCACCTCCTATGTCGTTGGACTTCTCATCGTTGTGTGCTCAGAACCCAACCAGAGAATCGCTCCGTATTAGGCACCACAAGCAACCAGAGAAGGATAATTTTTTAAATAAAAATAATATTTTTATCTATTAAAAAATTAACAAATTAAAAAAATAACGATAGACAACTAAAAGTGTAACATTAAAAATGTTAGACACTTATTTTTAACGAAATTTTTTTTTAGGTACAAAAATGTTTTTCAATTAATTATTTAAGCACTTATGTATTGTTTAGTCACTTATTTTTGTATTAATCCGAAAATTATTTAAGTTTTGTGTGCTCCACTTTAGCAATTATAACTTTTATCGTATAAGATATAAATTAAAATCATAAAGGATCAAATTTTCTAAAGAAAAATGGATAAAATATGTTATTTAGTCATTTAATTATTACTTTGAGTTCGCTTTGATCATTCAACTAATTTTTTTAAATCATATCTAACGTTACATTTTAGTTTCGTTTTTATCACCCACCGTTAGAAAATAAAAAAAAATTGTTGACTTGACAATTCTTTTTTATCTTTTTCAATGATGACATTACACTATCTTATGGTAACATGTCAGTATCACTGTTAATTTTTTATCAGTGGGTGACCATAACAAAACCAAATCATAATTTTAGGTATAATTTTGAAAAACAATATAATTGAGTGACTACAATAAAACCAAAGTGTCAGTTATATGACTAAATACATAGTTTACCCAAGAAAATTACAAATTTTTGATATTTTATTAATTTTTAATCTTATATATATATATATATATATATATATATGTATATGTATCGGATATAACGACATTATCATTTTGCTAAATATACAACTTTAAAAGTTAATAAATTTAAGTTATTTATCAACATATGGTATTATTGAAATCAAATATTTATGTTTCAAAAAATAATGAAAAAAACTTTTTTTTCTCTTCTTTTCAAACAAATTTAATTAAAATGATTTAGGTGGACTTAAATAAGATTAAATAAATCTGATTCGAGTTAATTATATCATATGTCCTAAAATTATATCTTTTATTGTAAATTAGTCTTTAAACTTTTGAAATTTTTAAATTCATCCATAAACTATGACCCTCTTTCTGAATTGGTCCACAAACTTTTAAATATTCCAATTTCATCCTCAAATTAATCCAAATATGTAATTTGTTTCAACCATAGTTTAGCCTAAACTCTATTTTTTAGAACATTTAATAATATAACTTGGCACAAAGATTTTATTAATAAGGGATGTGATTAGTATATACATATAGTTTGGGATGAAATTAGAATGTTCAAAAAGTTTAAGGACCAATTTAGAATGAAAGTCATAGTTTGGGGATAAAATTGAAATGTTCAACACTTTGAGGATTGATTTAGAATGATAGTCATAGTTTAGGGATTAAATTGAAATATTCAAAAGTTTAGGGACCAATTGAAAATAAGTGTCATACTTTGAATACATGTAATACAATTAACTCAACTGAGCCACCTCTCTTCATTAATAATTGATCATTAACATCCATATTTCTTGTGTTTTGTGTTCAAATGTTTTATCTTTATATTTTTAAAGTGCATTTTGTTTTCCAATTTGAAGAAATAATATTCAATTCAATTAAAAAAAGATTTTTAACACTAATTATTAAATTGAATATTTGGATGCCAAGTATACAATTAGTAAAATATAAAATATTTCTGAATATATTAAAACATCATTGATGTATTATTTTTAAAATCAAATTAATGTATTTAGATATATTTTTTATGATATTGACTTGTTTTTATCCATCTAATTAAATTTTTTGAGATTAAATAAATAGATTAGACTATATATTTGTTAATAGACAGGGATGGGGTAAAGATTGAACTATGAGGGAGGGGTAAGTTGTTTAACTTTGAAATAAATAGGAACTTCAAACAAACCATAAAAATGGAAGGAATTATGGTTTAATTTCACTAATTTTAGAATTAAATGATCTTAAAGAGTAATTAAACCAAAAAATTAGAAGTCAAATTTTGATTTTAAAATTAAAAAGGATCCTAAAAGATAATTAAACCAATAAATTTGGGAGGAGCAATGTCCTAATTATAATGATTTTTAAAATATTAGTGACCTAAAATCAATTAAACCATAAAAGTTTGAGGGGCAATTGCCTCTCCCACCTCCCATGTAGTTCCGTCCTTATTAATAAAAAACTAATTTAATAACTATTTTCAAAATATTAAAATGAATAAAAATTTTATTTTTTTAATAGTATGAAATGATTACAAGATAGTATATGTTCAGGATTTTTCTTAACTATTGACAACGTACACACATTATGTAGATAAAGTTGCTCGAACCCATGTAGGGGTGAGCGAAATTCGACTCGACTCGAAAAAAATTTAATTCGAATTGACTTAAAGTTGTCATTTCATAAGCCCGACTCGACTAAAAAAAATTTCAAATTCAAATCAGTTGTAAAATACAACTCGAATAACTCGAATTTTTTTACTCAATTCGATCAATCGAACGCTCACCCTAAACACGTAATCTTAAGAGAGAACAACATAATCTTTAATCACCAAAGCCACTCGACGAATTTATTTTTATCCTATTTAATGTTAATAAATATAAAATTATCATTAAATTCTTTGTAAAATGTGGCAGTCTGACTTTATTAGTATTTTCATCGATTTTTTCATATATTTTCTGTCTCAATAAAAATATTATAGTTTATATTTTTACTTAAAACTTTTAAATTTTTATTTTAACTCTTTAAAATATTTAAATTTTAAAATTAATTTGTTTAGAAACTACTTCATTCATATTTTTTTTATAATTTTTACCAATAATATAATTGGCATAATGATAAGTTATTTTTAACAGAAAATAACCATTAAAAATTAAAATGTGACAAATTTATTAAAATAGAAAGAATATTTAATATTATTGATTAAGTATTACTTTAATTGACATTGTATGCGCGAACCAACTTACCTCTGTAGTTAAATGAATCGTTATTAATCTAGAGATTATGAGTTCGAGCACCAACGACTGTAAGGGTGAGTGAACGTTCATTGTCAAAAATTAAAGTGCTTAGAACATATACTACTTTGTAATCACTAGCTTAATAAAAAATACACTATTATTATAATACTTAAAAAAATCATAAATTTACGTGAATTTAAACACAATAATTATTTGAAAAATATTCTTTTTTTCTTTTTATAATATATTTAAGGAATATAAGCTATCCATCTACCAAATAAATATTATAAAATAAATTTGGTATTTACTGTTTGATTAAAAAATTAAATATATATTTTATAATTTTAGTAATAATATTTCTTTGAAGAGACATGATTACAATGTAATATATATTCATAATTTTTATTACTCTAATAATAATGTACATACATCTTACAGTCGCAATTAGTTGAACTCAAATCTTCTAATGAAAATAATTCTCTATTTTATCAATGAAATCATTTAATAAGCTCTAATAATAAGAAATTTTAAATAACAAAAAATTAAAATTAAAATTAAAAAATGATAAAAAAAATAATAAAAATTTTAATGAGATAAGATTTTAAGTTCGAGTTTTTATGTGTATAGAAAATCCTCAACGAAAGACTCACCTACTAAAACTAAGTATACTATACAAGTCGAATCGAATTAATTAGTACAAATAAAAAGTTGTGACTGGTAAAGCTGTGATGTTTGATGAAATTATCAAATACGTGCAGTCGTTGCAGCGTCGAGGTAAGCCGCTCTCTTTTTGATTTCAGTTGCAAGCGTATAAAATCGTTATGTTATGCGATATGTTTTTGCAGTTCTTATCTATGAAGTTGGCTACTGTGAATCCGAGGATGAATGTTAACATTGAAGCCCTACTGTCAAAGGATGTAAGTTCATCTTCCATGGTTTTGTTCTCGATTTATGGTTAAGTCGTCTGAATTTTCGAGTGAAAATTCTGCATCCGTTGCATGCTGCAGATATTTCAATCCCGTGGATCTTTGCCGCATGCTGTTTATTCGGTAGATTCTTCAGCACCAGCATTCGGTTTCATATATCAGCCCAAGCAAGCGCTACCTATGAACAATGGCATATCCAATAACGCAGAGATTCAATTCTCTATGAATCCGCTAAATGCTGCGTTGCATAAAACACAAGGCTTGCAGCTGCCTCCTGTCGCTAGTTTTACCTATGCTAACGCTCAGGTAATCAAATAAAATTACTCGTCTTTCGTGTGGTTTGTAACCGGTTAATAGCATTCGAAATCTTGACCACAAGCTGCATATATATTGTCTTCAGATTGGATCATTTTTGGATGATGATCTCCAAAGCATTGCTCAAATGGGATTTGGCCAAAATCAACCACAAAGCTATCAAAGTAAGCAAACTTCAAACAGACTCAGGCATTAACATGCAGAATTGGCACATTCCGAAAAGATCAAATGTTGGATTTTGATGCACTTGTGTTTGGTGCAGGCTCAAAAGTTGCAGGCCAAGTGAAAATCGAGATGTAATTTACCATCGGAAGTCGGAACCGTAGTTTCCGGTTTGCTTCGAGACTCTCCATGTGAGCAACAAAGGCCTTTGTATATACAGAAGAATTTCAGCTTGGGAGAAAATTGATGAATGGTTTAATCTGAATTTTTTTTCTCCAGGATTTGTTTTCTGCAAACTCATTCTGTAGATAATTCTTACAAAGATTCTAGATTTGTAATATTGTAGAACTAATTGCAATGAAGTGATGCATTATTTAACGTTTAGCTTTTTGTATAAGAATGTTGAGAAACTTGTGGATACATAAGATATGGAATTACAGTTGTTGAGATTCGAATCATGAACCGATTTGATATTATTTCAAGTTAAACCCCGGACTTTTTGTTGTTGTTGTTGTCCTTCCGGTTCCAAGGCTTTGTCTTGGTTAATCTGGACCGACTCACGTCGCACATTTGACTTTAGTCGGTGAGTCTCCGAATAGAGATATTCTACATACGCAAGACATTGAATTCGAAATCTACTTAAGCGATATTAAACTGTTTATCACTTAAATCAATCTCTGTTAATCTAAACCCGAATTTTAATTAGAGAGGAGTAAGTTATCGACATCTAGAGAGTAATTAGAGTGAGCAGTTGTCATTTAATAATGTAGTTCTTCTACTACTCTATAAAGATGATAGTCTCTCCCCGTAATCGGGACATATAGCTGATGGAAAAGTTTACAATGAATTTAATAAATTACATTAATAAAAATAATTTTATTAAGTTCGTTAAATTGAAAACAAAATAGATGTAAATAAAATAAGTATTATTTTTTCCCATAGTATAGATATTGAGTTTGTATCATTTAAGTTATTTCAAATATTATTAAAAGATAGGACTATTTGATTATTTATTTAAGTTTGGATGTGTTTGATGAACTAAAATTTTTCATAAAATTATAATTGTGTTTAAGTTTGTTTTTAAAATAAATTGTTAACCTCTATTTTTTTAAAATCTGAATTTTCTATTTTTTAAAATTATTACTTTAAAATATTGAGAAAAAATATATCAAAAATTAAATTTTAGTTATAATTAAAGGGTCAAATAAGATATGTTTTATTAATTTAGCAAGCTATGTAACCCTCAACAACATTTAATGTTCGGTATCTATTTTTTTTAACAAAACCTAATGTTTAATGCATATTTTATAATTTTTAAAAATAGAATGACAAATAAAGTTATTTTAGCAAAATTTAATTATCACTACAAGAAAATATACCTTTAATGACACACGAACGATGACATAAATTAATTTATGACTTACAAAACATATGTGTCATAAAATAAATATCATATTTTTTAAAATCTGAACATTTATAACTTACAATAATGTATATCATATTTAATAATCATAATACATAAAATTTATAAAAACACAAAATATACTTTTTAATTATATGTCATCTTTAAGAGTCGTATTTAATTTCCGCCATTATTTTTATCCTTTCCCGCTTCTTCCCCCTCCTAATGTTTTCCTCTCTTTTCATTCTCTCCTTTTCTCTCCTGCTTTTCATCTCGATTCTCTTCTTCTTGTTAGGCATGAGTTTGAATCCCCAGCCTCTGCTGCCCATTTCCGTCTCTGATGAACTTGACGATCTCCATCTCTTCCACCTTGCTATCGTCTCTCCTTCCGCCTCGTCCCACCTTTCCTCCTCCTCCTCCCCTAAAATCGCTTTCCTTTTCTTGACCAACACCGTCCTCCGCCTACGGGGACGAAGATGTCAATGGATGACAAAGAAGCCTACGGGGCTTCGGCCAGGTGGATACAATGATCAGAAGGGTTTTTGTCCCTCTTATAATGGCAGAGGTATCTTTCTAATAATGAACCTTTCTCACAACATGGATTGATGACTTTGGTTTGGTAGATGACAATTAAATGTTGTGATGTTTAGCAACTGATATGCAATTTTCTCTCAGTATTGGGAGAAGGCGGAGTTTCCGTTCCAAATTATTCCCAAACTTGGTGCTATTAGTATTGCGGGTGGTACCATCAAGGTTAGTCATATATGGGTTTCGGTTTTTTAGCTTATTTGTTCCTTGGAAGTGGAAATTAAGTATGATGTTTTGTTATTACTGATTTTGCAGGGTTATGGATGCCCTGGTGTCTCGCTTACTGCAAGTGCTATTGCAAGTGCAGAGATTGCTTGGGTCGATGCAAGTTGCTCAACTTTTATCTTGGTGCATTCATCTCTAGCCATGCTTACCATTGGTGAGATCTGTGAAACGACTTTCCATAATTTTTTTTAATTTATGGATTCACTTTGTTATGGTTTTCTTTAAAAGAAGCTAAACAACTAATCACGATCTTCTATATTTTTCTGGACCATCAATGATAGCATTATGCGGGACAGAGGAACAGAAGCAGAAGTATTTACCTTCTTTGGCCCAGTTAGTAGCTTGTTGGGTAGGTGTTATTTTTCCGCATTAACTTCCTGGTTGATCCTTAGTGTCTTTTTGAGCCATAATTGAAGAAACTTAATGTTATCTTTAGGATTTGATTGAGCCTGACTATGGAAGTGATGCGAGTTCTCTGAAGACAACTGCAACAAAGGTCTATCCACAACCTTGTATTTTAGTTTTCACATATATTCGTTTAATATAGCTAATTTCAACCACTTATCAAAATTCTAACTTTTTTGTTATATCATTTTTGCTTTCATCTCAAACATTCAGGTCAAAAGAGGATGGATACTCGAGGGACAAAAACGCTGGATAGGAAACAACACTTTTGCAGATGTATTGGTTATCTTTTGCAGATCCAAAAGGAGGATCCAGAGGGAGACCTGGAGGGAGGCCAATGAAAGACGACAGTGGAGTATGGGATGGAGAAGTGCCTGATACATGGAAACGTGTAGATAAAGCTGAGGTACTTTTTTTCCTTCAATGGATTTTTAAAAATCGAAGTGGCTATTGGATATGATTAGTGAAGCAAGAGTTCTTCTTTGACAGCTTGCTCGTTGGGTTCGCGAGATGAGAGAGTCGAGAACAGCTCCGGTGGCACAGAAGTTTGAGCGTAAAGCAACTGCACCAGCGGGGAGAGTGCTTAACACTCTGCAATCGTTCCCTCGTAGCGCGGACTGTGTTGATCCACTTGGACTGGGGTAAATCTTTTCAGCAACTTCTTATTAATTGATATTCATTTTTTTGTTTAGTTTAGAGTAATTCACTCTAATTCAATCTAGTTATGTCTCATTAAGATAAGACCGTGAGAGAAGTTAGTTCTATTATTAATTATTGTACTAATGTGATTACATGAATTGTTGCCTGGTATTTTTTTAGCCTTAACTGGAGTCAGTGGATCCTCAATTTCATCTGCTATAAGTTTTTCTTCTGACCTCTATGTTTTGTACGATTGGCATAATAGTAGACAACAAGACCTTCAGGTTGGTCAATGATTCATCTGAAAGCACTCGCGTTGAGAAAGATCATATCGACAGTAACGTCTGTGGTATATTTTTTTTCCTGTCTTCCGTATGTTTTATGCAGATTATACTTCGTAATAGACTTTAATAACAGTGTCGCTCTCACAAACTGTGTATCTGCAATCTAAAATATATAGGTATTTTAGATGGGTATCACTTGTCTGAATTCCTCAATGATCTGCTTTCCTCCCTTGAATATTTTAATTTTATACCTAAAACTCTAATGCCCTTAATTTTTCAGTAAATGAAATGCCAGTGAATTATGTAATTTGTTTAGTGAAACTTTGCAGAGAAGTTGATGTATTTCTCTGAAAATCTTGATGTAAAGTTGTTTCTGTCCCGGATACACCAAGATACACCTGCTGCAGACTTGGAGGTTGGAGCTCTTGCACTAAAAACAGATCTCCAAGGACGGACTCAACAGAGGAAACAATTGGTTAAAGACAATTTTGAATGTTTTGTTTCATGCAAAACAACAATTGATGGTAAAGCACCTCGCTTCACTTGATTCTGGTAATACTTTAACTATGGAAGTGCAATTTTCTTAGGGGCTAAAACAAGTTTATTGACATACTCTTTGCCATATAAGTTCATAGAATTTTAGCTGTTTGCAAATAGTGCTAATTTAGGGATGGTGCTTGCATAGATATCGAGTCAAAACTGAAGTGAATCGAGGAAGACCCCGAAGGTTCAGGGACAGTTAACTTGTACAAATGTATGCAAGGAGTATGTTCACAGGCAGAACGGGCCTTTGAGCTTCTATTTGAGAGACAGGTTGGTTAACTGCAGGTGTTGGTTTGCTTTCAAATTCATTTATGATTGTGCTACTCAATCATGGGATATGATTTTGTTGTGGTAGACTTGAAGTGACAGATTCTTGTTGTTATCTAATATGTTAGTTGACTCAATGCCTGAATGCTTTACCCGAATTTCATTGTCTCTGTCGTGGTTTGGATGGTATAGTTCCGACGATTGGTCGTGTAGCTAGTTTTACTCCACTGTTGCTATATAGTTGCGAGTTATTGTACATATACAGATAAGTGTAGATAGACAGTCATAAGAGCTCAACTAGGCGTCTTGTAGTTACGGTGACGGTCGATATGTTGGCAGGTTCAATGAATTTGGGGTCGACAGCGGGCTTGCAGCAAAGGAGTTGATACCAAATCTTGATCTTGCTAAGAAACACATATCTTTGCAGCTCCATGTGGGTTTGCCGGATATCGAAGTAAGATATTCCTTTTCTCTCTTAATCATCTACGATGAATTTATTTCTTTTGTGGAATATTAAGTTCGTGTTAAATGTTAATATGATATATGATTTTCATATTGTGGAGACCTTTCTTAAACGCAGGTTAAACAATTAGTTTTGGCCGCTATTGCTTTGAAAAGACTCGGTGCTATTCTATTTGTATTTGGCCATGGCTTTGGAGCCTTCCTCCTGGTGAGATTTTTGTTTCTCAAGAGTGATTATTTTGGTTTCGTTTGAACTATGAAGTTATATGTTAATTCCACCGAGCAGTTACGTTTGATTCTACTTTCGTGTCTCGTCTAATTGTTCTTTCCTTTGTCGTAGTTTGTGTATTTGCTGGTTAGCACTCCTTTTCTCTATGACTTCTACAACTATCGACCTGGAGAGCCCCAGTACGCTGATCTTCTCGGTGATTTTCTGCTGGTATTTGCATATCCATATCCGAAGTGTTTCCCTATGCATTACGAAATACAACGTGCAAACATCATTGATTCTTTCATTAATGGCAGACTGTTGCGCAATGCAGTGCATTATTGTTCTTCTGGGGGTTGAAGAGCTTGATCACAAAGAGGCAACTAAGGAAGAAAGTCGTGAAGCCGAAAACTGCTTAGATATATCGAAGTGGTAGCAGGTGAAGATTGTTGATTTGCAGTGTCAGGTAATATTTTGCATGATCATCCGTTACCAAACCGAACTTTTAGTAGTTAAGCTTATTTTAGTTATTTATTCACCGGAATATTCAAAAAATACGTTTGCATATTCAAATATTTTCCCTTCGATTACAAGTTTAAGTTTAAAAGTAGTATTTGACTGAATCCGTCGCTTCATGAGTCCACAGCAGTATTTATGACAGGCAAAATCAATTGCTCTCCTCTCCCATGTAAGCAGAATGCTTGGAATTGTTATGTAGAAGATAGAAATGCGTGAACACGGTTGGTGTGGTATTTGGTTGTAGTGCATATAGTGAACATATTATTTGATGTTTGAGCATGATTTTAGTCAAAATTCTAGCCATAAATCTATTGCATCTATAAACTAATTTGTTATACATTATTTATATGCATTGATTCCTTGATGGCTGACATCAGGCATTGGACCCTTTATTTTTTATTTTTTATGCATGTGTCACATGATTTGGTGGTCTTATTCTCAGTTCAGGATTGTTCTGTACTCGAGTCTGTTTATATAGAGGCCTTTCAAGAACTATGTTTGTGAAGACATTATGTATTGGTTGAAGAATACCATATCTATAATCCATAATTAATATAATTTCACACGGCCCGTTGCTCTTTATCTGCTTAAGCAGGCAAACTTAACATTATTTGTTATTTTCAGGTAAAAATACTAAAAAAAGTTCTTGAAGAGGTTGAAAGAGTGATGCAAGAATTCAAAGGCACGCTTTACAAATCCATGGAAGATCCACAAATAGACCTAACAAGTGTAAGCATTTGACAAGCCCTTTTCAATATTTTGACAATTTTTACTTGTGAGGAAATGTATAATTGATGTTGATTTAAGACCTAAATTTTCATGGATATTTGTTCAATATTAATGCTCGTGGTATTAAAATATTATTACTCTATCTTAATCTGGATGTTGAGGTGAGTATTAGATTCAAATATGTATCTGATATAGATATGTGGTGGATTATACTTCCATACCTATATCTAAACATGTGTCAGGCATAAGTGTAGAACTCAGGTACTTTAAAAAATGACATGTTCGGGCAACATAACAATTATTTGATGCTTACTGACCCATGAGATGCAAGCTTTTTTCCCACTAAATCAATTTTATGATGTTAAAATCAGTTTTTACAAAATTTTCTGAGTTGCTTGGGTAAACTTTGAGTGGGATGTAGATAAAGAGAACATACTAGTATTCTACAAACCAAAGGACTGCTATTGAGAGGTCAATGAAATGATTTCCATTAATTACCATGTTGGAATGCTCCTGTTTTCATTTGAGTTGTAATGTTCCATGATCTATATGCCCTTCCTGTTGTCTTAGGAGTAGAAGTATGGGATATTTATGCCGAAAAGTTGTGAGATGGTTGAAAATGGAATCTTGTTTTTTTTTTTTGTTGAATTGGTGAGAGTATGAAACTAGAGTTCTAGGATATTGTCATAAATGTTATTTCTGACTATAAAGCAAATTATTGTGGCATTCAAGCCTGAGATTGAACAAATGCTGTTTTATTGATCTTACTTGCATTTTAAGCTGACCAAAAATTAGTTTTTGGGAATTCATATTTTTTAGGTTGATGAAATGATTTCCATTGATGTACACTACTTAACCATCTTTTGAAGATGTTTACTGCTTTGGGCATTTACTTGGAAAGTTTTGAGAAGCCTTTCCTGGAGTGCACATCCAAGTTTTATGCAGTTGAATGAATGAAATACATGCAGCAATCAGATGTTTCAGATTACTTGAAGCATGTAGATGTGCCTCTTCATATTTTACTTTCTCAGTTAGCAGTGATTGTTACTCTGTATTTTGAATTGTGCATGTTTTATCCTTCTAAAAAGAATGTTAAATTTGTCACATTATTCTATATATATGGAATTTGAATGTTTATCCCTCTACAATTTTTGTGTAAGTTTATGTAACTGAGAATTGTGCATGGATTGCTTATATATAACATGATATATATTTAGTATTACAAGGCATTAAATGTGATTTAGCTTGATTATTTGTCAATCTACAATATATATATATATATAATTTACAAAATACAATCACGACACAAATGTGTGTCATCTTCATTTATGACGGGGGCTTCAATGACACGAAATGCAAGTCATAAATGCGTGTCATAAATTTATGACACACAAATGTGTGTCATCTTCATTTATGACGGGGCTTCAATGACGCGCAGTGAGCATCATAAATGAGCGTCATAAATGCGCGTCATAGATTTATGACGCACAATTGCGCGTCATTTAAGATTCATGTCGGTGGCTTCAACGACAGGCATTTGTGTGTCATTCGCACCCATAGATAATGCGCGTCATTAAAGGGGTTTTTTCTAGTAGTGCATATATGAATTGTCGAAACGATTTTTTCTCAAAAGTGAGATTTTAAAAACCACATTAATTTTTAATTTATCTCTTTCAATTGATTTTTAATTTAAAAAACAAATAAGATTTAAAAACCTTTCGTTTCGAAAAAATTCGGATTTCTTTTATGATCGAAAAAATACGGTTCAAAGAGTCGCCACCAATCTTTGATTAGGGTGTGATTGAGCACCCAAAAATGTTTGTTATTTTAAATAAAAATTAATTTTAATTAAAACAACAAATTAAGGTATGCGTTACCAAAATCCAAGTTCGGGAGCCGGTTACGTGCGGGGAAGGATTAGCACCCCCACAACGTCCTAAATCGGTACCTAGCCGATTAATTAACGTCTTTGCAATGAACTTTACAAATTCAAATTTAATTTGATTTTGATCCCATAAAACAAGGATGTAAATTTAAAAACATTCAAAAGCACTCAAATAAATTAAATTAAAATTACCGAGTCATTTTAGAAAGATAAAGAATGTTCAATTATTTACAAATATCGAGACCAGATCTTAAAAGTTATAACAACCTTTTCTCGATAAATTTAAATAAACGAACATTTCCTTTTCTTTTGTTCCCAAATTTTAGGTGACGAATCAATTTTTTTGGTTTCACTTTCGGGATACACTTTTAATTTAAAATAGTCAAAACGACTCTCTAATCAGTTAAGACAAGCCATTCAAGATAATTTTAAATTAAAAGGGTATTACCCTTAGTCCGATTATGTATTTGTAAGTCGAGTTATGCACGTGAGGGTATCATACAAATTATACAAAAAGTGGATATCATGCCAAAATTAATTGTACAAAAATTAATATATATAAAAAAATGATATCTAATTAATGAACAACCTATGTGTACATGCATTCATATCATCATCATTCAACCATATGAAGCATACATTCGAAACGAACCCTAAATAACTATACATACATACACATAAAAAACTTAAATATGGATTAAAACGTAATGAACATTAATTTAAGATTAAAACATAAATGAGGTAAATATCATGTTATTGTAAAAAAAGGTGAAAAACAAATGGTCCTAAAGATGTGTGACCAAATTAAAAGGGAACTGCAAATCTGAGGCTAAAGTAACAAACTGTACAAACATTGAGTCATGACACAAAAGAAATAATATTCCAAGCACCAAGATTGTAATTTGTCTATTAAAAGACAAAGGATTAAAATGTAACAAAATAACATTATGAGCCTTGTAAGTGAAAAAGAAAAAAAAAGAACCATACGCATACATAGGGTTAAAACACCAAGTTTCTGAAACTGCATGTTCAATGTGTAAATAAGTAAAAATTAAAATTAACCAAATCTAGGACTATAATGGAACACGCATCAACTTAAGAGCTATAAACAACAAATTCAGAAATCAATTTAGGGACCAGAATACGAGCTTTTGAAACCTAAAGGATCATTCGATGAATTCCTTAACTTACGAAGCGCCGCCGTTTTGAACATACCATATATTTAATTTAAGGCAAAAATAAACCCTAATTTCCTTTGCATTAAGTCAACTCTCTCCCCTCAGCCATTTCTCTTCTACTCTCTCACTACAATAGAGAGTTACGAAACTCTCTTCGCCTGCCACCCTGTTCGATGGCCACCATCACTTCAAAATCCAACAGAACAACACCGGCCACCCTCGGAAGTAGCTATCCTTACCGAACCACCACAAACCCTCATCGAAAACGCCTAAAACCGAATCACTACAAGAACAAAACCTCACCTTCTTCACGCTTTCAACAAAAGTTCAACTAGAACCCAAACACAACACTCCCTCCACCGCTCAAAATGCCTTGAATCGGCCTTATAACTAAACTCCGATGAGAGGCCAATGACCCCAACTCCACCGTTACTCTCACGAACCTGCTCATTCCTTCGGCCGAACCCAAAACCGAGCCTCTACACTCAAAATAAGACCTCTATCTACATGAAAAACCTCCAAGATTGAATCAATACTAACCCCAAATTAACCCTAAACTCATAATCCCAAGCTCCTTACTCTGCCGACGAGATCATGTTAAAAGGTAAATCTAACAGCCTATTTCTACTTTACTTTTATTTGATTCAAAACATGTGATATTGCTTATTATTTAGAAAGAAATAATAATAATAATAATAACCTGTTTATGGACTGCTTGGATTGCTTCTGTTGTTAGATTGCTAAAGAAAATGGTGTGTTGCTTGTTATAATGCTTCCTTCTAAAAAAGATGTCTTTACACTGTTTGATTTTTTTATACAAGGGAAAAGAATATTGTTTACACTCTCTATTCAGTATTTGCTACTCTGTCGTATCAAGCAAAGCAATGAATGGAGAGAAAAAAATGGTCTCCGATTCTCTTTTCTTTTCCTTCTCCCTCCGTGTAATTTGTGATGGTTGATAATCTGATCTCCCCCTCCTCGTTTTTTTCATTGGTTTTTTAATGGTCTCTGCTTTTTCTCGTTCTCCTGATCCTCTCCAATTTTCAGAGGTTAATTCCTTTCAAAACTGACCCCCACTCTCTATAAACCGTTCCCCCTCTTTTCCTGCTCAAAACTGCCTGTCTTACTAGCATAATCCAACTGAGCACGGGTTGGGTTAGATATCATGTTAGGCTTGATTCGAATTGTTTAATCTGCTATAAGCCCGGACAAAAAGAGCATCTACAGCTGCCCCTCTTTGCTTATTGTCGTGCAACGAGAATAGAGCAAAGATCAATAGATGATCAAGTTTGTCCGACCATTAGAACTTCAAAAGATTAATCCGCTTCTCTGCCACTTCAGGATAAGCGAGACTTGAAAAATCTTCGAATGACGGGTCCGCTGTCTATTTTTTTGGGGAGTATAAGGCTCGAACAATCTTTGACAAATGTGTCTGCTCCCTATTCAGTCAGGGAGTATAAAACTCGAACAATCTTCAATAAACGGGTCCGCTCCCTATTCGTTCAGGGAGTATAGAACTCGAACAATCTTCATAAAACGGGTCCGCTCCCTATTCGTTCAGGGAGTATACAACTCTAACAATCTTCATAAAACGGGTCCGCTCTCTATTCATTCAGAGAGTATAGAACTTGAACAATCTTCAACAAACGGGTCCGCTCTCTATTCCTTCAGAGAGTATAGAACTCGAACAATCTTCATGAAACGGGTCCGCTCTCTATTCCTTCAGAGAGTATAGAACTCGAACAATCTTCAACGAACTTGTCCGCTCCCTATTCCTTCAGAGAGTATAGGACTCAATCTTCAACAAACAATTTTGCTTCACTACTCTTCCATGAAGGCTTATAGATGATTGGCTTCACTACTTTTCCGTGAAGGCTTAAGTTTGAATTGTTTCAAAGGTCCAACCTGAAAATCAAACATTACCAATCATTAATGTATGTTTGAAAA